AGTATTTTTTCCACTGATATTTTATCTGTATTTACAGGCTTGTCTGTTTCATTTTAAACATGTGACATCTTTTTACTCTATACATAGAGAGTCGAAACAACACAACTTAACTAGTTCAAAATACATAGATATTTGATGAACTCATAGCTGACGCAAAAAAAGTTCATACACAACAATAAGAGAAAAACTCTCCTAAGTCACCACTAGTTTTAAATGAATTTTATGAACCCCGCCCTCTTAAGTACAGGAAATAGTAATTATGAAATAACTGGAAAAAACCACGAATTTTATACATACGATCCCAAAAGAGGTTTAGGTCATATTAAGAAATGTGAATCCATCCATCGAACAAGGTGAAATAAAATCAGCTCTAAAAGAATTTGAACACATTGTTTTAAAAATTTGAAATATGAATCATCGCCAGACAAAAAGGTCGTTCCCACTTTGTGGAGTGTGTGCAGAAACAAAATAATAAACACTTTTACAATTTTAAAACTCTGCTGCACAATCAATCTTCACGCCACCCCAATTCGAATGTAAACTACCGCGATGTTCAAGACGTCAAGACTGTGACCACATAAAGTAAATCTATTGAAAACTACTCAAATATTAAATACGCATCAATTAAAACATTGGTTCCGCGTTATAGGAAAACGCGTTATAGGGGAATTCCTGTATACACAAGTGCAAATGTACGCGAAGTTAACTATGAACTGTTCAAATGCCAGCGTTATATGAGGGGATGCCTGTGTTATACAGAGGATTGAAAACGCGTAATATAAAAACGCATTATAAGGGTACGGCGTTATAGGGGGGGGATACTGTACATGCAATATAAATCGAAACAAAATTTTGTCTTCTTACGCAAACGAAACAACAATGCAAATTAAACACATTTCCAAAACGTTTTGCTCCATATTGTAACCGCAATGAAAATACGTGTTGTTTTCAGTTCAAATCGTTTATTAATATTGAGTTAGAAATGATTCTTAAAATTAAAGCGAAGCTCAGCGGACAGTTGTCTTTAGCTAAGCATTACATAGTTTCTTATCGCTAAGTACATAACGTCGCAGCGTATATACATCTTATTCTAGTAAGTGTGCATATGTGTGATTGCTGCTTCAGCATAAACTCACAGACGGTTAAGTACGTCGTGTGAGGTTTCGTATTTCCGTTGCATAAACAGTGCAACAAAGTGTGGGAATGGAATGTTAATAAAATATTATGCTGTTAAGCATTCTGACACACATATATACACTACAATAGGCACCAAAATATACTACAAAAGATTTCAATAAAATTAAAATTAAATTTTTGTGTTTGTCCTTTCTTTCTTTCTTTGCTATTCAAAAATTGTTTAAAAATTTAAATATCGCTTCTTTATCACTATTAAGAACGAGTGGCTTTACCAGCAACAATAATACAAACTTAAAACAAAAATTAGACTTGTGAAAATAAGAACAATAATATATAATATTGTCCTAATCGCAAAAGCGAGTCTGTAGAGTAACATAGCATAGCTTTTTTGTAAATAGCACCAGAATAGGCGCTTTATATATAGTAAGTAGACAATATGCATAACAAATCTCTCTACAAAAAGAATAGCTTCGAAAATAAAAATAAAGGCGAACTGAAAAAGTTAATTTTCAATTCGTTGAACTTGTGTTTCCAAATAAAGCTGTAGTTTATAAGCTCGTTCTAATTTAAAAGCACGGCAAGTGCTTTGGTTGGTGTCACTAATTAAAATAGAAATATGTGACAACAAAACCTAGAACTTGAGCATTGAAAGTTTGTGCAGCCTTGGCCACTTGTGGATAAACACGATTAAACATCGCTTCTAATTTGACAGGCACGAGTTCTAAGCCTGGCACTTGCAGCCCAAACAATTTATATACGGACTATAAACTAATTAAAGAAAATTCAATTATTTCCTAAGACCACTGATAAAGAGTACTTGGCAATACTCGAAACAGCTTTGTATGGTCACCCAAATTTTCAACAAAATTAAAATAAAATTTTTGTGTTTGTCCTTTCTATCTTTGCTATTCGAAAATTCTCTAAAAATTTAAATATCGCTTCTTTGTCACTATAAAGAAAGCGTAGCTTTACCAGCAACAATAATACATACTTTAAAAAAAAAATAAAAAAATATGTTTATTATTTTTATTTATTATTACTAAAATTACACGTATAAATTTGTGTTAAATATTTAATTGTATTTTAATTACAAAAATATTAATTTTCATAAAAAATTAAATATTTAGCACAAATTTATAAGTAATATTAAAAATAATTTTTAATTTAAGAAAATATTTCTAATTTGTATGTGTTAAATGAACGACATAAGCACAGTTGTAATAAAAAAACGTATTAAAAATTGATCGTA